CCTGATCCTGATGGGTTACGGTCACCATACATTTGAGGAAATGTTGCTCTTCATGCTGATGTGACATTACCAGAAAACATGGAGACACAAAAGCATCCATCCCTGATGACGCTCACGACAGAGTTCAGCAGGTTATTCCCATGAACATCTGTCACTGCTTTCCATCAGCAAGAGCATTAAAATTTATCACCACCATTAATGCAACTTTTCACAAAATGAGGTTGAAAATGATGTGGGAGAAATTTGGAGTAAAACTAGTGAATAAATTATTTTTATAGGGAAAATAGAGGCCAAAATATAAAGAAATAAGTGCTGGCCTTCATTCCACTGAAATACTTGTTGAATCCTTTTTTATTTCTACAGAATGATACAAATTTTTGGCATGTATGGTGTGAACTTTTTTCCAGCTTTTGAAGTGAGACCTGGCAACAATTTTTTAGAAGCCACTGATTTAAAGCAACCAGCTGCGAAGGGTTATGTTTTTATTTCTGACATTAACCTTTACTTCAGTTTCATACGATCTTTAAATCTTGAAATTTGGCAGCATGGTGGCACGGTGGTTAGCACTGTTGCCTCACAGCAAGAAGGTCCCGAGTTCAGCTCCACCATCAGGCCGAGGTCTTTCTGTGTGGAGTTTGCATGTTCTCCCCATGTTTACGTGGGTTCTCTCTGGTTACTCCGGCTTTCTCCCACAGTCCAAAGACATGCAATTAGTGGGGATAAGTTAATTGGAAACTCTAATCTGTGTGTTAGCCCTGCGACAGACTAGCGACCTGTCCAGGGTGTACCCTGCCTCTCGTCCAAGATAGCTGGGATAGGCTCCAGCCCCGCCGCCACCCCGAAAAGGATAAGAAGCTGAGAATGGATGGATTCTGTGAAATTTCACATGCACAGTTTAACAATTAGAATGACCCTCATGTCATTATAATAAACATATAGTGAGTTAGAATAGCATAAAAAATTCCTCCATCCAAAAGTATACAAAGTTACCTACCAGTATTTCTTCAGCTCATTCATCAGGTCTTAAAATAAAGTGCAACAATTACAAGTTAACCATTTAAAAGCCAGATTATTTCTTGAAAGGGACCAATACTTTTTTTAAATGACATAATTTTCTCTATATTGTAAATCCATTCTAGAAGAGGGGATCCCTCTTCTGTTGGTCTTCCAGGATTCTGCTACTTGTCCCCTGACTTAAAGATTTTTTTTTTTTTTTTTTTTGCATTTTATTCTTCTTATCCAAACTATGATATACATCAAACGGCAGCACGGTGGCACGGTGGTTAGCACTGTTGCCGCACAGCAAGAAGGTCCTGAGTTCAATTCCAACATCAGGCCGGGGTCTTTCTGTGTGGAGTTTGCATGTTCTCCCCGTGTTTGCGTGGGTTCCCTGCGGGTACTCCGGCTTCCTCCCACTGTCCAAAGACATGCAGCTTGTGGGGATAGGTTAATTGGATAATCCAAATTGCCACTAGGTGTGAATGTGCGAATGAATGTGAGTGCAAATGGTTGTCTGTCCCTGTGTGTTAGCCCTGCGACAGACTGGTGACCTGTCCAGGGTGTACCCCGCCTCTCGCCCTATGACAGCTGGGATAGGCTCCAGCGCCCCCCGCGACCCTGAAAAGGATAAGCGGAAGCGGATGGATGGATGGATATACATCAATGTTAGTAACCTTTATATAAGAAAAACTCCCAAATCTGTCAAAAATTATATGATTAAATGTTCATTATTAGGAATTATTGTTAAACTAAAAGTTGTAGGACCTTCAGGGACGCTTTAAATATAATTTAATTAATCATTTTCCAAAGCGATTAATTAGCAAATTAGATTCTTATAAGAAAAAAAAGAAAAACAGTCATTCAGAGGATGAACCCTCAAGGATTTACTAGAAAGACATGAAGGTCAGGAATGAAGAAAAATACTCAAACAGAGAGTCTATGTGGTAAAAAGCTGTCGATCTTGGCCTTCAATAAAAAGAAAAAATAACCAGTTTATATCGTAGTTACAACTGCACTTTGTCACTGAGGTTGAAAAACCAATCGCTGCCTGTGCTACTCCTGGGTTATGTGGCCCAGTTAATCTCATCTTAAAGCTCACTATATTATCTTTGCTCAACATAAACAAATGTTGCAAGAATGTGGTGTTATGCAGACATGTCTTACACACAAGATCTCTGTTGTTTGTTTGGGTGCACTTCCACATGCGCCCAGCAATTGCAAAATTTTGAGACAGTCTAATGAGTCTAATGTAAATCCCTTTGCCTATTTATGCTAGTCAAATGGGTGGAGCTGTGAGAAAGGTTTAGCTGTAACTCACTATTGTGTCATAACTTCATAGGATAAAAGATGCATGTAACTTGGAATTGCATATCGATTAATTTTACCTGTGGAAACAGATGATAACAAACACCAGCACTAACAAATGATGTTAAAAAAGAGAAATCTTCTCAAAGTTACTACAAATAATAAGAGTGCCTTGCTGAGTATGAACAATATGGAAAGTCCAACTAAGAGTCATAACCCCTGCCCCCTCCATGTCAAAATGAAACCAGGGATATTTGAGTTGTGATGTGCTCAGAACTCAATCATGTGATGTGCTTAATCATGGACTGCAAAAAGGGGTCACAGGTAAACATTGCTTCAGTGTTAGCCAAAAAGGGGAACCATCGCCTTAGATCACTTTACTATAAAGCTAGAAGCAATGTCTGTGTTAGCAGTTTATTTTTAGATAATAAACAACTTAAGTGGTAATTGTTTTGTCTATAAACATGTCAGAAAGTACTGAAAGTTTCCCATGATCATCAAATCACTTTCTTTTTCTGTCAGAAATTATAGAAATTTCATTTACAATAACACGAATGACATAAAAGCAACAAGTCTTTATGTGCAAGTTAAACTTTCATTTAGTAAAAGGCTTTAGACTAATATGGACTGGCGCTGGTTTATGAAGTATTTTTTGGTTGGTTTCATTTTTTAAAATTTTACTTTTCATACCACTTTTTATTTTTTATATATTTATAAAAATAGTGCGTATTCATAAAGCTTGAAGCTTAAAGCAGAAATTTCAGCTTTCGCACACTTACATACAGCAAATTGTTCAGTTTCATTACTGTCTGAGTGGAAGAGCACAGTGGTGCAGTGGTTTGCACGGTTACCTCACAGCAAGAAGGTCCTGTGTTTGAATCCATAAGCCTGCTGGCTTATGGTGTTTGTGTGTTCTCCCTGTGTCTGCGAGAGCTCTCTTGGTTACTCCGGTTTCCATTGACGGTTGAAAGACAAGCCTGTTAGGTCTTAATTTGAAATAACCAGTTGCACTGGAATGGTGGAATACATTTTGTAAGGAACATAAGCACCCCTGGCTTCAATCTCCTTCTTGTTATTGGAAAACAGACTTGAAAGAACAGCGCAGATAAGTCTGTAGACACTCACAGTCTTACCCCACCCCCATCTCTCTTTGACCCTGTCACAGCAGACACCTTTGATCACACTAATCAGAGAACATCAGGAACAATTTTGACAGACTCAGGGTGGGACCCACACACACACACACACTTTGAGCCACGCAGCCGATGATGATGTTAAGAGAAGGATGCACGCAGCTCTCACGCTCTAACACCTTATTCAGAAAAGGCACTACTAATATACACACTGCTAGCTTTTAGAGCGGTGCAGCAGGACGTACACTATTTGCAATGATTATTTACACATGCAAGGAATGACAGAGCGCTGGCAAGACTGTTCAGCAAATGTTTTTGTCATAGCCTCAGCAATGTGCTTTTACAATCCTGATGTCCGGACAGCTGGCGAGCCAAGATTGGCAGCCTGCCCTGAGAAACCAGAGATGCCGCATCAACCAAACCAGCAGGGAAATGTGTCTTACACCACACCACACAGCATTCCTCTCATCGACAACACACTCTGCACAGGAACCCTTGGGCTATACAGTTTTTGTATTCACAGGGATGAATTCCATCAACTAGATGATATGATTAATGCAAACATTTGGGATTCCTCTGTAGATCACCAGTTCCACAACTATGAGCATGTTAGCTGTCATTCAGCTCGGGGCATATCGCAGCTTAGCTTACAAATTCATTCTTTTTTCAGTGTTAATGTCAAGGGATGCATTCACCTGGCAGTCAGGTTTCTTAGCAACCCTCACCCACAAACTGCTCCCAAAGCTGAGGGATCCCTTTCTTGCTCCCTCTACACAATTAAAGTGGGAATAAGACAAAAAGGGAGAAATGTGCAGTGGTAGACAGCAGAAAAGGGGAAGGGAGAATGAGAGAGCGTCTTATTTTGGCTAGTGTTCTTCAGTTCTCTCCAGCTGGCCTGATTGTGTAAACAGAGCAGAATTAAATGCTCTCAAGCTCTGTGGATCACACCCCGAAACAGGTGCTTTTACTCCCTCAGTCCCCATCTCTCTCCCTCCCACACACTCGCTCTGAACGTTGACCGTTTACACTCCAGGTGGCAGGTGCTCTTGCATTAGTGGAGTCCTAGAGAGAGTAAAACACTGAGCCATATCTCATACAGATGAAGTCTGGGACCTTTTCCATTGGCTATAATTCATAAAGAAAAATGCATAAACAGGGTACGCGGAGAAGGAGAAAGTCAAGAAGTGAAAATGCCAAAGGGTGTTTTCTTTAGTCTGTAATACCAGCTTTGTATCTTTGATTTGTGCTCTTCTGATGAACTGTAAAATGGTCTCTTTAACTCTATTAAAGAGGTTGATATAAACACAGTTCAGTACACAATCACAGAGATGGTGCAAACTAAGATGAAACTGACAAATAGCTGTAGGATTACATTTATTTACATATGACCTTTTTGGAATGCAGGCAATTATTCAACGCTGCAAGCACAGTGGTTGAAGTAACAATCCCTTTTATTAATGTATCTTCATCCTATGCCTGGCAGAAAACAAGGAGTCTGTGTGTTCCACATGCGCATAAAAATGTCTCTATATTTTTGAAAACTGGTTTCTGCTTAGTTTTTACCTGCAGCCGCATGGACGAGCACGCTCTGGTTGGGTCGCAGGTTGCCAAAGTCAAACAGCATCATGTAGGCGGTGATGTAGTTGACAGGCAGGGCTGCTGCCTCCTCAAAACTCATCCCCTCTGGGATTAGGAAGGTGTGGTTTGCTGGCGCCACTGCTACCTCCTGCCACAGCCCAAAGCGGTTCAGCACCATAACCTTATCACCAACCTGAAACAAAGAGCATAGCAAGACATGGGTGGAAAGAAATTGTAAATTCAGTTCTTGTAACCCGGGGGCCAGAGCTTGTTAGGGGGTAAATGAATAGTGATTATAGATGGTCTGATTACATTACATGCACATATTAAGTTAACACGTGAACAATTTATTTTCTTAACGAAGCTGCATTAAAAATAATTAGGGATTATGGATGCAGAGAAAACAAGTGAGTGAATTAGCATCATGGACAATACTTTAAACAGCAAACTAAAGGTACAGATGAATGGAATGTAGGCTAAAATGAATGGATAAATCACTGAAATGGTTACAAGTTTTCCAGTGCAACATACAGCTCTACAAATGACTGGAACATGCAGAATTAAAATAAGATCCCATTTAAAATTCATTTAATTGAACACATTTGCATTATTGATGAGTGGTGTCGATGAGGGGATTTTTGAGTTCATCCCACCTGACAAAAAAGATTGACACCAAAGTCCTAAAGCACTGGAAAATCAGTAAGATATCTGTTTCCCACTAAAACATATCAGAATCCCGTGGACCACCTTACAATGATGTAAGCCAGGGAAAAACCTCTCCTTTCTGTCTCTGGGTCAATATTGTATCAACTGCAGAATGACACATTACAGTAATGAATGTATAACAGATTTTTAAACAATTTTCTTAAATAAAGTCTAAATTCTGCAATACTTTAACTGACTGAGTTCTTGAGATGAACCCGTTTCACTGCTGGAGGCGCTGGTTTGTTTATCTCCTGCTATCTTTATCTCATAGTCCTTAGTGCAGTGTGAATGATGCAATCCACGGAACAGAAATAGTTAGACTTAGGTTTATTTTTATTTTATAGCAACACGCACAAACATGCGGCCACCTCGGTCACCAAACTCAAACACTTCGCTTTAAAAGTGTGGATGCAAAGAAGGAAAGCGATAAACTAGAGCAGAGTAAGAATAGTAACCAGAGCTGCGGCAAGTTTATAAAGGAAGAAAAACAGTGATGCAGTTACAGAAAAAGAAGAAAAGATTTGAAGTGGTTAACTGCTTGCACGAAGATTTTGTTCGCTTTAAAAACCAACATGCATCGTATTAAAACATGAGAAAGAATCAAAGTATTACATGCGATCAGGAAATAACACTCAAGAAGGGGAAAAAACCAAACAATCACTACATCATAAGTGCCCTCTTGGCTCTTAATATGAGAAAACATGTGAGAAGCATTTAATAATTTTGCCAGTGTACTGGTTTAGAACAACTTTGGTCCCAGGTGCAATGTGTGTTTCATATCCCAATCACCATCTTGTCCTTTTACTGCTCTCAGACTATCCTTATCAAAGCAGGATCCTCCAATTCGCAAAAGTCTCTTTCCACAAGAATTAGCCATGATATTACCCCCCTCCCCCAGCGGGCTAACTAACCAATCAGGAGAACTCAGTCGAGGGACACAAGAAACAGCAACAACTGTAGCATTATAAATCTTTTCCTGTTTTCTTCCTCCCCCCTATCCACAGCTCCTGACATAGCTCACCCTCCCACCTCGTTTCCACTCTCCCCACTTTTTCTCTTCCCTTCTTTCTCTTTCACTTCCTGACTCCTTTTCCTCTTATAACTATAGCATGTCTTCCTTCCCCTTCTCCAGTCCCGTGTCTCATCCTGTCTGTGACTTCTTTGACATCCCCTCTTTCATCACCAATTCTTCATCCTCTGTTGTCGCTTTCTGTCTTAACCATCCTTTTTCTTCTTTCCCTTGTGAGGAGTGTCCCGTATCACCTCTTCCTCATCAGTGAGACAGGACAATGGGGCCCATCTTCTCCCCTGGCTTCTCTCCACCCATCACATTCCCTGCCAGATTCTTCCCCATGGCTGAGCATAAGACAAGCTCTCGCCTCCTGGGAACAAACCCTCTCCACCCGGGCTTCTCTAATGGTCTGGAGGGAGCCATGCGCCTCGCTGTCTATCCATTCCAATTAGAGAGATCTCCCTCTCTCTCTCTCTCTCTTTTCATACCCTCATCTTTCTGTCTAAAGGCTGAGTCATTTGGTATATTTCAGAGTATACTATCACTTTTTTACCACGGGCTACTTCCCTTGGCTTGCTGACAGCTCTCTCACATTTCCATCTCCTTGTCTTTTCTTACCGCTGGGATCTTCAAATTCATCAACCTCTGTGATTTAATTGGGGGTGCAGTGTGGTACAAATCGATACGCGGGGGAGTTCAGGCGTTTACAGGAAACAAACATGACTCACAAATGCATTTGCAGCCATTCTTCCATGCCCATGTAAAGCATGTGAGTTACTGTCAGTCACACAGAAGCTGCGTAGGAACATTCAAGGCCAAATAAACCAGCCTTGTGACACTTCTGTTACAACATCTTCACAGTGTGACAAACGCATAGCCTCTTCTTGCACTTCCTTTCTCTGCCTTCATGCTGCATCAGATGTAGTTAGGGTGAGGAGTGCAGGCACCCTGAACAAAGACATTGTATATGAATGGACTTAATCAGATGGTGATTCAATTTTGGGGTATGCAAGCCTCCAAGTCAGCTGCTTTGTGGCTTGGAGCTTTGATGATGTAGGCAAAAAAATTATCAAGTTTAAAAAAAAAAAAAAGAAAGGTTGAACAAAGTCAGGTTCAGGCGAAAGATAAAGGCCAAACATAACACCCACACAGCTCTTGTGACTCCTGTGAATAAAATTAAAGCATACATATTTCTGCTGCATCAGTAGGCGTTAGGTTTAACATGGAGTTTGTATGGTGTTAAGGCCACACCCAGCTCCCATCCAGCAAACTACGTGATGGTCTGCAAGCTGTTTTTTGCTTTTCGCACTCACTTGCTGCATCTCTATATTTTATCTATCATCTTTTTTTCCCTCAGATGAATTAATGAAGTCTAGCTGTTCACCTTTAGAAATTTCCAGAAGAGAAAGGAAAGCACGGGTTACAAGCTCAAGAAGAAAATAGAGAAAGCTGTTCTTTAGAAAGCCAGCAACTGTTACAAGGCCAGGATAAGTGAAGGCAGCACGACAGAGCAAGTCGCCGATAGCCCAGCGGTCAAAGACAGAATTAAGAGATTATATGAAAGGAAAAAAAAGCTATAGATAAAGGCAGGGGAGGATTGATGGAGGAAATACCAGACTGACAATGTGGGCCAGGGAGGTAATTGAGAACATATGGGCGAGATCCTCACCGAGGGAGAACATTTTTAAAGCTGGTCTGATGTAAAAAACAAAAAAACAAAAAACAAAACATTAAAAAAAACCTGCTGATGTTTAGTGTCACGGGAGCTTCGAGGTGATTCATGATTTTTCTGATCTGACTCGGTGTTTTACTTTTCCCCACATTGGCCTGCTAGGGTTATTTCAGGTGACTCAACTCCTGTAATACTTCAGTCAACTTATAGTTCTTTGAAGGTAAAGTTACTGATAGACAATGGAGGAGAAAGAAAATCAATAAAAGGAGGTCAAGATAGAGGAAAAGCCAGCGTACGGTACTGTTTGATCCATGTACTGATTTGAGTTTCAAAACAAATGTTGTTTAATCTTTGAACATAATCTAAAAATGTTTAATAGCCTTTATCTATACTTCAGGAATTTTAGTAAACTACAATAAAGAGCTGAGAGCTCTAAACTATAACTTTACAGTTTATTACTTTAATGAATAATTACATGTCCTTGCTGCATATCCTTACTTAAGTTTCTTATAACAGGACATCAGTGTTCTTGCAATTCCCCTACTTCTTGCACCACATGTGTATGTGAATACTGTCCTATTCAGCATTTTAACAAACTTCCTGAAGATGAATCCTGACCAGATGTCATTAATTGCTATGGGTGTCTTAGTCAGGGTGGCCCATAGCTAGATAAACCTTAACTCTCTCCTTGGCCAGAGAAACACCAAAAAACCCATTCACACACCCGCAACAGAGTCCAAATACAAAACCACCTGTTTAAACACTACAACACTTTTAAAGTCATGCTTTGAAGTGAGAAATTTAGAATCCCACGAGTCTTTGCACTCGCCAAAGGGGGGGAGAAAGTGTAGAAGCATTAAAAAGACTCAAAAACACTACTGTACACAGTTTTTTGTATTTTAAAGCAGTTCTCATGCATTTCAGAAATTAACCTAAATCATTGCATATCTAATATGCTATATCAATGTTTTGGAAATATGAAATAAAACAGATTACACTCTACTTAACCACTGTTTATCTTACTTTATTTAATTAAGAAGCAATATATTATTGCCTTTATGTATTAGATATGGGAAGAAAAACACTCAGACACTCCCACTGTTGAATGTCTTTGTGTGCATATGTCTATCTGGGAGAGATACAGGGCAGACAAATAATGCAGCAGTGGGTGATGAGCCACCCAAAAATTCTGTGCCATCAGGGGTCAGCACATTCCATGTGAGTCAGCTGCCAAAAGATTGCAGTGATCTCTATCCATTAGGAAGATTGTCTCCTAATTCTATAAGCTAAAGGCCGCAAGGGGATGTAGGAGCGTATCGATAGGCTGTGTGTTTCTATGTGTGCTTTGTGACCTTTAAATCAAATCAACATCCCTGACAATGTGGAAAGGAGCAATGAAGTATTCTCGAAACACAGGGGTCTTCGCTTTCTGTGATGTCTGGCTGCTGTAAGTTCACCCATCACCAATCATTTAATTAACCCTATTACTGTTATCCTGCAATAGATTAGCCATCCATCTAGGGATCCACACCTTACAGACATATGTGCCACTCCCTGTCAGATGGACTGATTCTGCACTTGCATCACATGGTGTTGTCCACAGATATTAACTGGACGATGTGAGAAAATCTGGTACTAGTACAACAAGCAGCGTGAGTCATCATTGGCTGCTTTGTAACGTTTGGGTTCTTTCTTTTTTTTTTTTGTTTAACAACCTTTAAAAGGCGTTACCGTGGTGATGCCATGCTGCTAGGAGACAAGACATAGATTCATATGGCTCATCGTGCAATTTAAGACAGACACCAATAATCCTGCTGCCATCACAACGCATCGTTCTTTGTGGATGACAATCAAGGTGGAAGGGGCTTCAATATTCTGTTTAATTTACTTAATTGTCTGAGAGCGCACTGGTTTGAACTTTTGATGTTGAAACACTGGGTTAAAGAGATCTCTGAGCACGGGACATATGATTCGATATCTGTTGGAACATAGTGCGACTGATTCAGTTTCTCACACCATGCTGTCTGTTGCGTCGCGCCTCGCCCTTTCCATTCGTGTGTGCGCCATCGTCGCTCCCGGTAACAAAAGGCGTCGGTGACTTAGGTCTCCGCCACCGGTGTCAAGTCATAATATTTACTGTGACAGCGTTCCATATTCTCCAAAATAAAATGCCTATTAATTAGCCTAACATTTTGCAAGTAGAGCCACTTTGTATACCCATTAGCCACTCTTTTCAATTATTTTCCATCAAAAGTGCTCGTTTTCTCACACCTAATTGCTTCATTCTTTTTCTTAACAAAATATGATAGGCTAATAAACACATGAACGCGTTAGTAGCTTTAATTCTGAAGGCAGAACACACTCATTTCCGGTCTTGTCCATGGTGTCTCCAGCTAACTTGACGCAACACGGCGCACCATGGCGCACATCAAAGCGCAGCATAGCGTAGGTGCAGCAAGGATGGAAGGCATCCCACAGATTACATGTGTTTATATAGATTTAGACTTTCAACATGAATGTTTGGTGTGAACAGAGAATCCTTCTCAATCTCAGCAACTAGTTTGTACTTGAAGTTGCTCAATCTAAGTGCGCACTGGTAGCGCAATTCGAAAACCGGGGAGACAAGAGGGGCGACGCCTCTGTTGGCCGCATTGTGCACAACTTGCCTCATTAACACACTTTTGGCTTCTTCAACAGAGATGAAAAATCAACATGAGCACACTGACATGCTTTATTGCATTTCGCGATAAGACAACAAGTGCCATCTGCTTTCTACGCAGAAGTGAATGAATGGATGTGAAACCACATTAGCTCAATATTAAACCAAAAAGTCGATTTATATTATTATTCTATAGTTTATTTTGTATGAATTGCCCTGCAATCGATTGATGACGTTAAATTAATTTAATAGTGGAAATTGAAACCCGACCGCTACTTTTTTCCAGCGAAGCGAGAAAAGCCTGACACGCCCATGCCCAGATGTAACAGTTCAGCCCCAAACTGAATGAAATACATATCACCAAAACATTTTTATATGACACAGTAAAAGAAAGAAAAGGCAACAGCTAGTTTGTGCTTACTTTTCTGTCAGTTACTTCCTCCCCTACAGCCTCCACCACCCCGGAGCACTCCATTCCCGGGGTAACCGGCGGGGACGGCAGCCGGTCGTACAGCCCCTGTCTGGCCATCAAGTCGGCGAAGTTCAGTCCGCATGCCTTGACCCGAACCAGGACCTCACCAGCCTTGAGTGTCGGCTTGCCTTTCTTCACCTGCAGCTTGACTTTATCATACCCCCCGTAGCCGGTGAGCACCAGAGCGCGGTAGGTGAAGGTCTCCTCTTCAGGGACCTTCTCGGTGGTCGCCGCCGGGGTGGCCGCTGCCTCTGCGGCGGCGGCGGGTGGGGACTCCGTCTTGGGTGGCTCGGTTTTGGGCTCCTCGGTAGGTTTGGTTTCCTGCTTTTGGTCCACGGCGTTTTGCTGATGAGCAGGTGCGTCTTCTCCAGACATTGTGCAGACAGTGATGAGCCTAGAAAATCACTTGGAGGGTTTTTTTTTTTTACTTCTTGTGCTTTTGTTGCCGTGGACGGGCTTGCTGCTTTCAGTCAGATGCTTGACTTGCAAGTAAAAGAAAATGTGAGGGACAGAGCTCCTTTTTCAGCAGTCTAGCATGGAGACGCGACCCGTGCAAAGTGGGCTGATCAGTGGCCAGTGGTTGTCAACGCCGCGCTCTGACAGAGAGTGTGAGTGGGACGAGACATAGGCAGTCTGGAAAACACGGAGTGCTGATGAAGCTTGGGGATTGGCTTGTATGACTGGGTGGATTTGGCTGTCTGTCTTAGACTATAGAAAGAGCCTATATTGCGTTAAGCAGAGGGATAATTTACAAAAAATGTCAATTAAGACTGAAAGGCAAGTAAAGCAATCCTTGGAAAAACGTCCAAGCCTGCTATTCCTGCAAATCCTCTTAAGAATATTAAGGTGCTGTGGTTAAAGGAAAAAGTAGCTTTAAGAATAAAAAAGCACTTCAAAGAAAGCTGCAGTTAAAGATTAATACAAGATTAACTACACCGTGTGACACAAAAATGCCATCATAGACTCAGTAGGCTTTTCATTTTAGGCACTGAATTATATAAACATGTTTATTTAATATTTCTTCTAGCAGGAATGTGTTGGCTGTTTACTGCAGCCTGTTTAACAGAGAGGTTTGTGGAACACCAGGAGCGACAGGAAACGTCTGTTTATGCTGCCTATTCTGCAGTAGGATTTGCAGGAACTTTGGACCTGCTTACTGCTCATTGTTGTAACTTCCCTGCACAGACAGCTCAGAAAAAAATATGAGCTTGTGTTGAGGTCAAGCTAGTGTTTGATGAAACGATATAACCTGCTTTGTATTATCCTTCCACAGCAAGGAGGATCCAGAGCCACGGGCAGTGTTGGGGAGTAACGGAATACATGTACCGCCATTACGTATTTAAAATACAAAATATGAGTAACTGTATTCCGTTACAGTTACCGTTTAAAAAGGTGGTATTTAGAATACAGTTACTTTGTTGA